AAATTTGTTGAGTTTTTCCATATATTATAATTCGTGTCTACTTTTTTTTTAAAGTATGACTTTCTTTCAACATCAAAATTTGTGGTTTAAACATGGTTTCAGTCGTTCATGGAAAATGAGGTAGTTAGGTTAGTTTGGAATAGGAATAAATCCCACTTGAGCTTAAATAATGATCCATTGTAATACTATGGATTAGCGTTGTTCATACGCAGACTAGAGGTCAGTTATCTCAAGTTGACGTCTTCAGAGAAATAAAATGTTACGTTAAGTAATGAAGAATCTTAAGAGGTATAGATTGTATATGAAATTCATTTGGCAGTCACTCACAAAAAAAGGTGGGACTCACTAAACAGTAAGCTATTTGTACGAGTATTTTGACTAGTAAACCAGTTTGTGACTTTTGCAAACCAAACTGAAGGACAGCGTACGAACAACGGAAAATAAAACAGTATTCGAAAGAAGTTGTACTTGAATCTATACTATACTATAGGCGTACGTCAAAGTAAAAAATTGGTTAATCCCTATAACTACAAACTGATTTTACTCCTAATTTGAACAGTGTTGAGAAACCTGGCAAATTAGATGATAGATTTTCTTAACTTAGTATATGAAGATGAATCTGTCTTATATGACACAATATCTAGTTGCATAAATGAAAAATATACTTTAAGTCATATTATCTGTGATCTGGGCCCATGATTTAGTTGTTAGCTCAAGGATCTGCTCTACTTTTCTGTGAATGTAGAAGTAATAACCCAGAACCCTGTTATCTTCTATTCTATTTAATTCCAGACGTTGCAAAATAGATGATCCGAATGAAATTGTCAACTATAAAAGATTCCTCTACAATTTCTAAAAATTTCTAATGAAATTAGGGAATTGCACACTGGGATGCTTCCATGTCAATTCGAACAACTGGGCTTTTGCTAATCCTGAGTGGATATTTGTTTGTTTTTGTAGTAACAACACCAAATTCAATTCCGATTCGGTTCGTTTCAATTCGATTGCTGCCTGCGGGCATAATTACTCAACTACGCGTGCATTTAATGATAAATTCCTGAAGGAGACAATAAAAACGAGCAAAGCAAATATTTGTCCTGTCACTGACCTCTTCTCCGCTTACCCGCGTATAGTTGGACAGAAGTTAAGTGGCTGGCAAATGACAGTGGCAGGCGATGCCGGTTCGAGGCGTGTGTAAACATTTTGTACGTGCAATTGAGCTTAGACATCCTAAGTTGCAATTGGCGTTGCCCCTGTTTATTTTGCTATATGATAGTTGTTTTTTACTTGTCCCTTCCTACTTCTCTTATGTAAAAGTCTAAGGTGAGGGGCTATAATGAAGTTAAAGCAAATTAATTTTGATTAAGTGATGTTTTAATCACTAAGGGAATATAGAGCAATTAAGCCTTTAAGATGTTTTAACTCAATACACAGCGAAGAGCGACATACTTGAGACAGATTTTGCTCAATTAACTCCCCCTAAATGAGGGTGAAGGCCAATTAGGGTACATTGATAAAAGGATGATGGATAAATATTTGAAAGAAATGTTTTGCAACATAAAAGTTTCAAGGTTCTAATTGTTAAGAGACTTATTACAATTAAAGTTCTGCTTATTTGTAGGATTCGAGAAAAACATTAATTATGTATATATTTGTTGGATTACTTATTTAACATTTTATTTATTCTTTAAATGTTAATTGTTGAATGCTGTTGACTTTATTTATTATTAAAAGTTAAGCGTATTCGCACAACCGAAGCGAAATACGCAACCTATGGAACCTATGGAATTTTGACTGAAGATGCGGACAAATGCAAGGTCTACAAATGCGTGCTTAATGTCACACAGTTTGACGAATGGTCAGAAAGTTTAAAGAATTGAGATTTGTTAAGACACGTTAATGAGTTTTCAAAAGAATCTAATTACAGTTAAGCATATCAGCATTTATCATTAATGATGAAACACGGTTTTTTTAATACGAGTTGAAAACAAAGTATTTAAGTGCGGCATGTGGCATGGACATCACTAGAAGAACCAGTAGGGAGAAAATTATTATGCATCTAAAAATGTAGAATCTAAATAATGCTAAGAAGTTTTTTCGTTTCAAATGGAATTACTTATAGTGAATTCATTCATTTCTGCCTGTATACATAGTATACTATCAAAAAAAAAAACAACCTGAATTTAAAGTGAATTCATCTTAAAAGGTCATATGGTGTACGCAGAATATTATCAAATTATTTATATTATTATCTAATCTACAACGCGAGGGTCAATTCATCTCAAAAATTTAAATGGTTTACATGGAATACTATCTAAAAAATATAATGTCTGAGAAATCTATAATGATGTTGTGAATTCAATTTGGCATGCTTAATCGAAGTATTGAGAGCCAGGCAATAGGTTTCTCATGCACGGTTATGAATCATTACACAAGGCCTTCGTGGCAACTAGTTTTGACTTTCGAAGACTTTAGTCTTTTTTAAAAAGAATCATTCGTAAATAGCATCTTGACATAATACTGCTTCGTGTGACTTTTGGCTATTTCTCGAACTGAAATTGATGAAAGAAAATCGTTTTGCATTATTCTGATTATCCGAAAGACTTCACTAAGTACAAACATGATAAAAAAAGTAAAATAATATAATAAAAAAAGCTATTAAACAGCACTAAAAATGAAGAAAAAAAATTTGAAAAAAAAAAAAGAAAAAATCTGTTTATCAGCAAATATGGCAAAAATAAATAATATAAATTAAAGTAAAAGGCTAGCTAATAGTCCCGAATAAACGAGAAAAAAAATTTGATCACCAAATTCAATCGCAAACCTGTGTTTAAACATTTTTAATGTTGAAATAAAAAGTAAAATTGTTTTACTATAAAATTTTGTGGGTGTCATATATTACATAGAAACATTTCCAAATATTTAAAATAAATGCATTTTTCTACATGATGGTTTTATATTGAGTTCGTTACCCCATATAATTGGATCTTTCACACTACTTAATTCAATATATTAAAATTGCACATTTCATTTAGTACTTACAGCTATCTTTAGTTAAAAATATTCTAACTAGATGAGAATTATAAATTACTGCACTGTTTAAATGAGAAAGTTTTACATAACTGATGAAGTAAGAATTGTAAACAGTTGATCAAATATCATTAAAAAATAATAAAATTATTCCTTTCATATTTCATAATATTGATATTATTATGTATGCTATTTAATAAGTGGGAGATAATTATACTAAAAAAATTTAAATTATTTTTATAATAAAAAATTCTTGTTCTTTTTCAGAAGTATAAGTTTTATTAAACTTGGCAAAATGAAGAATGAAGAGTTAATTAAGTAAGTTAATTAAGCACAATTAATAACAAATTATTTATAAAAAAAAAGAAAACTCGACAAAAAAAATCTGTATTCTCATATGGAATGACAGAAAGTGCATTAAAGAGTTTCTTTATAGTCGTTGTGCGCGCAAAAAAGCGGACGGATGAAAGCAAGAAACAATATCCGATTTGGTGGATAAAACTGATGGTCTAGTGTTGGAGACAGTAGCCGACGAATAAAGGTAAGCAAAATTGCTGATATTGTAAAAATATTAGACGAACTCGGTAATAATATTTTGATAAGACTTCTGCATATGAATAGTGAGATTGCTTAAATGATGATATTAAGAAACAAAGTTTGTTTTTTTTTGAATAAACATGGCATTTATATAGTAAAATATTTTATTTTACCACAGCACTGCACTGGCTCATTTATCAATACTAGAAGCACTATTTATTAGTATTTAAATTTAAAAAACTGGGTTATTTAGTTTTTTTAAATTTAAAAAACTGGGCTAACTGGGAAGTAATTTCGAGGAACTCGAATTATCGTAATATATCGAGAAACTCGAATGATCCTATGTTTTAGAAGACAAAAAAAAAAAAATAAAAAAAACCACTGTAAAGGGTTCAAAGGAGACTATATCGAAGGAAAAACAATTTTTCAGTGGGTAAAAAATAATTGGAAGACTATTGTGGCAAGTATATACAGCTTGATAGGGACCATGCCAAACAAAAATTTAAAAATAAAAAAATTTCAACTATATCAATTACTAATCAAACAATGGTCGTATATATTTCATATACTTCCTATACGACTATACAATATATACGTCGTACACGACTATACAATATATACGTCGTACACGACTATACAATATATACGTCGTACACGACTATACAATATATACGTCGTACACGACTATACAATATATACGTCGCATACACCTTATTTAATTTATAATTAAACACTAAGTCTACAACCTTTTTTTCCTCTTGACTAGAACTCTGAGAATAACGTGTTAAAGTTCAAAAATTAAGATTTCAAATAAGTTATAAACAAATTCCTCTATAAGTGATACGAATTTGGATATTTAGTAAACCAGCTATGAATAAATAGATACATTTTTTGAATCAATTCCTAAAATTTTTCTTCTTTATTTTTAAAAGGAAGAACTTATCAAGTAGTTAATAAAGTAATTATGTAGAAAAAAAATGTTTTTAGAAAGTATTCTAAAACCCCTCTTTTTGAGAACGAAAGGGGAAAATATAAGGAAAATTTTACCTCAGGTAAAAGTTTTGAACTTTAACTAATTAAGGTCTAACCATGGGTGGTAAAACGACAAGTGTTGTTCTTATTTCTCAACGGCTTTAGTAAATTGAAGGTCACTGAGTAGATTTAAGCACTAAAAACATTGAAAAACCGGAACCGCATATGAAGACTAAATAACCCACTCTCAATTCTATGATTAGACCTTAATTATTATTCACTACGATTAATATCAGTACCAGTAGCAAGATTAGAAAATCATGTTTATTAAGAGACAGACTTGAATTTCTAATATATTTTGCTGAACTTGGATTTAATAAATTTTGATTACTTTCAATTCTTCTGACATTCAAATACCTACCATACGATTGATTAACTGCAAAAAATGAAACTACAAAATCTTTTTCGAAATAATTCATTTATTAATTAATTTATTTTTTCAAAAATATTAATAAATAATCGTGTAACTTAACTTAAAAAGAATATAGGTCTGCGACTCCATGGGAGACAATTTACTATGCAAAATTAACGTTCAGTAATTTTGTTCGTTTCTCTTTTGGTTTCGGTAAAAAAGTGGACCAATGACGTTCAAAATACTTTTTATTGTGTCTTCAAACGATATGCGATAAATAATAAATGTTTCATTTAATAATTAACAAATTATGTATAAAAGTTCGTTAAATAAGAAAAAGGAAAACAATACTTATTTCATTTATCGTTAATTACATGCAAACATAAATACAGACAATGTGACATTTTAGCGCCCTTGCGCCTTGTTTTGTTTTTTTTTCGCTAATTTTGTGGACCATCAATTATTGGTACACAGAACATTTAAATATATTTATAATTTATTTTCTTGGCTTTGTCCTTTATTTACGAGTATGTAATCTCTATTACTCCTTCCGGATTTATTGTTCATTTGTTTTACTACAGCAATTTCTTGCACGACTATAACAATTTACTAGACTAAAAAATCTTCTCATACACATATACTCCCTCCTTACACTTCATGTACATTTTTGGTTTCTTTTCGCTTTATGACTTTTGTTTATTGGTATTACTGTCTTGTTAAATCGGAGATCAATTAATGCTACTTACTTTACTCAGAATATATATGTATGTATGTTTGTATGTATATAGTAACACTAAAAATTGATTTAAAGATAAAATTTTACTAAATGTGGCACCGAAATATTCTAAGCTACGCTATCCCTTCTGCTATTTCTTGTGCTGTTCCTGTTAGTACACATTATGGAGTGAAAACATTTTAAAGTATACAACAAGATCGTTCCACCTTTCTTTCGATTTTTGGCATTTCTTGCAAGGCGAGCTCAACATGTTTGCGTGCCAACCAGGATTGCTTCTGCAGGCGATTGATAATGATGCGATATGCGCCGATTATGTCACTGCGTGGTCCATTTTGTATGGATGAGCGTAACATTTCACTATTTACACCCAGCTCTTCTAATATTATGCGTGCTTCGAACTCAAGCGGCTTCAGTTGACTCAGATCCTCAGTGTCTGTGGGAAGCATTATGAACTTTCCAGTTTCGACATCATAATTCTTAAAAAGTGGACAATCAATAGCTGCCTCAGCATTCCATTGGCGTTTTTCGCAACCATTTATATGTGCTAATTGCTTCTCTTTCTCCATTTCCATAGGGCTGACTTTCTTCTTAAGAGTGCTACAGAAGAACGAACGTTTGGGTGTGTTTGTTTTGGAAGCATCTTTATTTGGATCGATAGGTAGATCCCGATTTATCTCAATCGGCTGCAAATAATTATCAACAAAAACACCATCATTCTTTTTGGTATTCATGTTGATCGGTGGTTTGTTGGTTACTTCCATATAACGTTCACGCAATGAGTACGTCTTACGCATACGCCTCGATTTGGAGCGTACCCAAAAACCAGAACGTTTAACAGGTTTGGTTCGTAAATTGATTTCATGTTGCATAAGCTCAGCACTCAGTTTAGGTTGTGTAATGAATTGACTGTTGAGCATATCGTCAATGGTAGGTCGACGTGCAGGTATATGAATAAGAATACGTTCTATGAGAAAAAAGCGCAAAAAAATATGTTATGAAACTTAGTAGAGCAGAAGGGACCATAGTTGTATACTTACGTATAAGTCTTATGCAAGGCAGACTTAATTGTCCTGGCAACAAGTAATCACCCTTCAAAATAGCTGCTTTTAGTCCTGGTATGGTGGGTGCACGGAACGGCATATTTCCCACAACCATGAAATATAATAAAATGCCTAACGCCCAGACATCTACTGGTGCACCGATGTAATGATCATCGGAAAATAGTTCCGGCGCTGCATAAGGTGGTGAACCACAGAATGTGTCAAGTTTTTGATTGGCACCTACAACAAAATAGTTTTTGGTAAAATTATTTAAGGAAAGATAAATGAGGTGATATGAATAAAAAAAGATGATATAATATTAATATAAAATATCGAACGCAATAGACATTAATGTCACGCTGCTATATCCACTTATAAAAATATTTAATATCAGAAGTATGTTAATTTCTGAGTACATGCAATGAAATAAATTGGTATAGTTACAATCGTTTAGTTGTTAGTTTATCATAGGTTGCCCTAATAAAGAAGCTTAAAATGATGTTCTAAAAAAAGCTAAAAAGGATGTTTAAAGAAATAGTAATACACAACCAGAGACTCTCCTTGGAGACAATCTTCTAAGCTACCCGAGATAAATTAAGGTTGTTGACAAGCCTCATAATATTTGATTCAAGATCCGAAACCTTATTTGGTTCAATGAAAGTCGAATCGAGATAATGGACAAGTTTGCTAGCAGTTTCTGGACACGATTAAATAATATATGTTAAAGGTGCGTTTGCATATTACAGAATCTATTGATGTTAGTCTCCTAGTTTTATGGGTAAAAGAAGATAGTTAATAGAGGGGTATGTATTTCATCTAAATTCAAATTTAATTCAACTTAGAACTTTGTCAAAAAATTATTTAGATTGTCTTAAATTGCCTATAGAATCGCTTCAAATCTTCTCTAACAATTTAAATTCGATCAATGTTAAAAGTTAAGATATCTAGAGAGGAAGAAAGTTCATAGTGAAAAAACAGCTTATAGAAGCTGACTCTACTATAATCCGTTGTGAAGTCTGAAAGATAGAGTTACTCCTGACGGGTTTTAAATTTTAAAGACGTCTTTTGCAGGAGAAGGTGTTTACTTTAATATTTTTATTTACAACTTTAAAGTACGGTATCTGGAGAAGGAATGTGGATCAACATATAGAGAACTAAATAAAATTGATTTTACTAAAATCTGTTTTCAAGTCGTAAGACTTATGTAGCTATAGTTATGTCTAAAAATGGTGCACCTCTCGATTAAAAATAAAAAAGGGTGCTTCCGGTTTTTTTTTATAGGTATGAATAAATTCGTCGGTCACGTAAATATTACCGAAATATGGGACTCTCCGTTGAGTTTTTCTTTTAAGAAGCATAATTGTTTTACTTTTTGACTAAAGTGTAGTAAGTTAAGGTAAAGAATAAAGAGTATTTTGTCGACATACCATAATTATTAAATATGCTGAAAGAGAAAGAGACCACAACTTGTTGATTTTTAACAAATACAAGAGATGGTCATAGTTAGATGAAAAGGAATTGTATGAGATTTGTGAACCGTTATAAAGCAGTTTAAAAAACCAGCTCGTTTTCAGAGCTGAGTTGGTTAAAAAAGTGAATATTTTAAATATTTCTTGTGTATATAAATTTTAAGGCTAGCCTCAGCGAATCTTGGGTCTGGATTATGTATTTTACTATGCATTTTATTAAGATTTCTTGCAAAAGCCTGTTTATTATTCAAATAACCATACTAAATTAACATTAATATCTTTAAGATACGTCACTCTAATATTCAACAAATTGTCCAACTCAAAAAACTTAAAAAAGTAGAGCAGTGAGTAAACTTAGGAAAAGTTTTAGTTTCGTAAAAATAAATAAGCATATCCTGATGTTAAGCAGTAAGCAGATGATATCCTTTTAATAAATTCATTGCATTGATATTCATTAAGTTGTTTCCTAAAAGCGTTATTTGATGCTCATAAGCTCTTAATGGAAAAGATAATTATAATTTATATAATGCAGTGTAACTTAAATAAATTCCTGCAAAATTAGTATTCATATTAATTATCAAGAACGTGTCATGAATTCCACACAAGAAAGTGTGAACTGTGAATAAAGTTACTTTTCCCCGGTGTTTTTTTGTGGGTTTTGCAAAGAAGGATATAAGCTATTTTTGTGATAATACTTTTGTTTATTTAAATCTGTTCATATATGAATATTCATGGCCTGAAAGTGACAAAATAAAAATATTCCCACAAAAAGAAATTGTCTTAAAATGTGTTTGCTTGCGTCTATTAAGGATTAAGAGCAATATTTTCTTTCTATTAAGCGCAGCAGTTATTCACAATAATCAGAGTAGATAAGATTTGGGGACTCTGCAGTAGAAGTTGAAACTGACAAGTTTTCATTTTAATTCCAATATTAAAGGGAATTAGGCAATAAAGACGATTATATGCATTCAAAACAGTTTGATATGATTAGAAGTGTTTTTATGGCAAATAATTAAATCAGTCAGTGTTAAGAAGTATAACGTAAAGAATGATGAAATGAGAGATATATATTTTCAAACTTTCTCTCAATAAATTGAATATGTCAGGGGATTGTCATGGGATTGAAATCATAATTATCTTGTTGTTAACACACATAGTCTGAATCAGAATCAACCATTTTACACGAAAAAAAAACCAGTAAACAAGTGTTTTGTACATGTAAACTACAGGGTTTTTTATTTCTGAAAATTAGAGTTCTCTATAAAAGATTCCTTAAATTTTTCCCTTTAAACATGAGAAATAACATACTTTTTTATTTTTATGATTAAAGTAAATTTAAAGGCGGATTGATGTAAGTAGCTAGAAAAGTCTTGATTATGGGAAAATACATTTTATTGACAAAATCAGTTATCCGTCATAAATGGTCATATCTATGGCCAACGCATATTTTTTTTTTATAATACAAATTTTTCTAATATATTGCAGAACTTTAACTCGAAAGTGAACATCACCTCATATAGTAAAGTAACGTTTTTTATTAAAATTAACATTTTTTTGACCCCCTCTTAAGAACTAATTATTGACGTAACAGGGTTAATGTATATGACAAACTTATATTAATTTCTTTTAACGAAACCTTTCTTCATACATCGCAAATCGCCATTTCCGAACTTTCTTAATATAAGGAACAACATATAAATTTTCTTCATTTCAAATTTTTATAAAATTTTGCTAATATACGACGAAATTGAACCAGGAAGGAAGAAGCTTCATTCATAGAAGCAATGATAAACTAAAGCTGTGTCAACAAGCTTTAAAACCAATCTGTATGTATTGTATCCATCTTTGTAGTTATATCTGCTCAAATACGTTAAATTTGATGTGTTCAAAAAAAAATTCTGAGATGTGAAATTAATTCGGTATTGTATGAACACAAGGTGTAGTACAAGAACATGGTGTGGTATGAAAACATAGTGTATGGTGAAAACAGAAAACAATAGATCTACATCAGAGAACTGCAATGAGTACTCAACACTCGAATCATTGACTGCGTTTCATTTATATGCATTCTGACTCTCTATTTCATATATTCGGCTTGACCTGATTCATATATACATCTGACAGCACTTATAATAATTTAAACTCATGAATAAAATTATGCAAATGATTTATGAACCATTCATGAGTATTTCGTCACAGTCGGCAAAAATTTAATTCTTGTTGTTTACTGTACATGTAGTTTCTTACTAAAACAACCCCTAATTAAACAAAATACATGCGTTTACAATACTAATAACAACAACAAACCAAAAGCATAAAACTAAACACACACAAATTTTTTGCTTAGCAAACAACAGCGCTCACACAAAATCTTTACGAATGCTTGAACTGCTCCAGTCATTCATTTTCAGTGAGTATATTCATACTCACTTGAGTATATGCTATGACTCATGAATCATGTGCCATTCATCTCTACTTAGCGCCAGCACTCGTTTACAAATACACTTATGGGTCATTTTTGTGGCGAATGTAAATGCAAGTAGTGTGTGAGAAAAACATTTATACGCATTTACATTTGGTTTTTTATGAGCCTTTTCTGAGTTTTAAGATTATAAATTAAATTAAAAAAAACTCTGAGACTTGATTTGGCAGTAGAAGGTATATTTATGAAATTTAAATTAAATTCTAAATTTATACTAAAGTTCAATGTTATATATATTTATGAGATAGTATACATGTAAAATAACTTTTTCTTTTTATTAAGGACATATTCCTTTGATATCGGCTTAGTTGATCACAAAAAGAAAGTAATTAAATATTTGAAATGTGATTTATTTAGCTAATAAGTAAAGAACCGTTTAACAGGCAGTGTGGCCGAGCGGTCTAAGGCGCTGGTTTAAGGCACCAGTCCGAAAGGGCGTGGGTTCGAATCCCACCACTGTCAACAATTTTTTAATTATTTTTTTGAACACTGACGAAATGTGTATACTAACATGTTTTCATAAAAAAATATAAAAATATATAGATTATTTTCATTTTTAAACATGAATTAATATATTATTTTATTATTCGCACTATTGTGAATGAAACTTTAATGAGGCTAATATGTATGTAGTTGTAAATTGTGAATTAAAGAATATGGGCACGTTATTGTGAATGAAGCGTAAATTAGAACCAAAATCATAAAACATAGTGAATTCAAAATTCTTTTAAAAAACATTTTTTAGAAGAAATCTTCCAGAATTTAGAAATTGAAAAAAAATAAATAAGTGTATTAACTTTTATAGCAGAAAATTCTTCACATTCTGCAAGTTACAACGAATTCTATTGTTAAAGAAGTAAAAGATTGCTAAAGTGTTAGTAGTGTTAGTAGAACCAAATATCTGGGTTGTGTGCTTTGATAATACACTCAATAGATTTAGCGATGATTGCCTATATTGAAAAATTGAGACAACAAAGAGTTAAGTTGGTTAATTGTATATAGTTATAATGTAATATATGTATATAACAAGTCCATACATACAGAGATCATATAAAATCTGTAATTAAATTTATTAATATTACTACAAATTAAAATTTGTTTTATACGGTAGGCGTTAATAATATATATTTCGACTTTGTATAAGTTTAACAGAGTATTGTTTATAAGGATGGGCACATACATAATATCATTAAAAGGGGGCGGAGGTTTATGGAAACTAATTCAAAGTTTATATGCAAATATTTTAATAAAAAAAGACTATTTAACCTTATACATCATTTCAAGGATGGATAATTTGAACATCTTAAGGCAGAGCGAGAGCTAGAGAATTCTATTATAATAACAAGGAGATTAAAGTGTGCAGTTTTTATATGTTATATGGAGATATTTTTTAGTTATTTAAATTAAATATCAATCCTAGTATACCTTTAACATCTAAATAAAATTTAGATACACAACAAAAACTGGATTTTATGGGTTCACAAAGATTTATTAATTCAAATAAATTGAAGAATATATAACCGTAACTTAACATAACAGTAACCAGTATGTTCTTGAGACAGTGAAAATAATTAGTTTAAAACTGTTAAAATTATGTGCCCTTATTAATTTATTTATTGTAGGATTAAAATGTCTTTATTAAGGAGTTCCTGATCATCTGGATATAGCAGATAGTGATAATTTAATAATTATAATGATAATAATTAAAGACTAATTGTTTTTATAATACATCAATTTCTGTTTCTGACGAATTCATTCATAAATTTTTTTTTTTTGTGATAGTCTAACAGAAATTGATTTAATAATACTTGAACAAAATCTTCAAACTTTATCTATATAAACTACAGAGAAAGATTTATAAAACTATCGATTTTCGCGGGATGAAATTTGAACTAGTGTAAACCTGCCCTAACGTAATTTCTGTAAATCGTATTATCTGGCACCCGGAAAGAAATATTCCGGTTCTTCTGTTACTTTACTGTTCGGACTTATACAGATATGAAGTTTAACATGCGGTCTTCATTCGTCAACTCACTCCACAAAATTTCAATATAAACAGTAATCAGATCCTAACAATCATCTATGTCACCAGCTGACTATAAAACACCTAGCCCTCTTCCTATAACTCTCAGTTATCGAAAAGGTGTTCTAGCTGACTGGGTAGAATTGTAATTTAGGTCTAATTTTATCTACCTACTTTGGAGTTATATTGCTGTATCTTGAAAATGATTAAGGCTAAAGAATTACTTATTACTATTATGTTTGCCAATGTTAATATATGAATACTTTAATACATATAACGTACCTTGTAAAAGTTGTGTGCTAAAACCAAAGTCAGCCAATTTAAGGCGATCCTCAGATAATAGCAAAACATTTTCAGCCTTAATGTCACGATGTACGAAGCCCAGATTGTGCTGCAATGGGGATAAAAAATAAAAAAAAGTATTATAAAAATTATTTTTGAAGTATAATAAGTTTTAATATTATTATTTCTATATAAATTTATCTTAATTATATTTGATATTATCGTTTAAACGAATGCAATATTTGAGAAACAGCAGAATTTAGTTGAACTAAGAACTTTTTGACAAACGATATCTAATGAAGAACTCTGGAGACATACTGCGCAAACTGACCAAACGTCTACTAATATTGAAATTCAAGACCGAAAATATGGGTGGATAGGCCATAACCTGCACACAACGCTAACATGGAATGCCCAGGGAGCCCGGCGTAGAGGCAGGCCAACGACAACATGGTGAATTAATACTAAACCTGGAAAATCGTTTAACGAACTTTGACAAATTTCGCAAAATAAAGATAATTGGAAATCATTTGTTGTATACTTTAGATTCTAATGGAGTATAAAATAAAAAATAAAAGGCTTTGATAATTGGTTCCAACTGATTCATATAAAATAAAATCTCAAAAAGACTACGTGAAACTTTTACAAAAATCTATATAGACTTACTTACCATATGTTTGACTGCCATTAGCAGTTGTTTGAATAAAGGTGCTGCATGAATTTCACGTAACGGACCACCCTGAGTAATGTGATTGTAAAGTTCACCACCACGTATCCATTCAGTTACCAAATATACTCGTCCCAATGTTTCCACAACTTCAAAAAGTCTAGAAATAGAATATTTGATTTTATTCACTTTGATCTGTTTGTGTTTATTTTCATTCTTGTTATTTTCAATATATTTTAATTTTAATAAATTTAGTTTAAAATTATTTAGTACCTTATTTAGGTATCAAACATCTTTAATATTATTATTATTTATTTAGCTAACCTACTTGAATGGTTTAACTGAAAATAACATTTTTATAGAGTTTCTCTCTCTATCCCTCTCTTTCACTCATTTTTAATTGTTCTCTCAGAAACATCATATTGTAATGAAATTATTACAATTTCCAATTTCTTTGTATATGGGTGTAGTTTAGAGTTTCGGGTAGTTTATTGAGAAATGAATTTTTTAACAGTTTTACCAAAATATATTTTTTTTATTGGAATAAATTGCTACGACGAGAACAATGTGAAAATTAAGAGAATTTGATGAGAAACTGTCAAAATAAATGCATTACGCTTATTCACCAGGTCGCTACAAATTACTCACCTTAAAATATTTGGGTGGTGAACACATTCAAGTGTTGCAATTTCACTTGACAACATTCGCAAGGCTTTTGCATCTAAGCCACCTCGGTCAACTACTTTGATGGCTACTTTGTCTGAAAATAGAAAATGATTTCTTGTTTATAAAATATTTTAGACAGCCATTCATTTTAATAATAAAAAAATGTATTTCTCTAATCATATCCTGGATCTCAAGGATCTCATCAATCTAACCACATTTATACTGCATGGCTGCAATATATTTATGCAAAGCTCGTTAGTATAAATGAGATTCACAAAGGTCTTGGTCAAAATAAAATAATTTTGTTTCCAACGCTTTTATCAATGTCAGCAATACTAGCCAGGAAAATAATGTCCACCGATGCGGACTAAGCTGCTATTGTTATATTTGTTTAAGAAAAGTGTCTTAGGTGTCCATTATTGTGCTCCTGTACGATTATGTAGCTCTTAAAAACGGAGCCCAACTCTTGTGATACTCTTCAAGGAATAATGTTCGTTGTTAAGGAATAATGTATTTTGTTATTTGCATTTTACTATCAAATGGCTAATTGCAGATTGCATCAGCAAAAATGTCGAGTGGATATCAATTAAATCTAGATTCCAGTATTGCGGTTAACTGTTTCTGTGTGAATAAGCAATTTCTGTGTATTTGTATCTTTATATTCTTAAGATATGTTAATCAAAAAAGGCTATGTCATTATTTTTAATGCATTTATGCTTTAGATTAAAAAGAATTGATTTTTTATTTTTTGATTTGAAAAAGAGAATTCTACTTTAAGTTTTCTCATTTTTACCTCGAGTTAGCTGATGTACTGCTAATTTGACTTTTGAAAAATTGCCTCGACCAATGTCGCCACAAAATCTGTAGAGTCCAATACGTCGACCAATTGTCACCTAAAAAGAACAAATAAAATTTAACATTTTTTGAATTATATATGTGTATATATGTATATTAAAATCATAGAAATAAAAGCAAATTTTATGTAAGTTAGATTAGTAAGAACATTTTTATGAATAATATTAAATCAAATATACTAAAGAGGATAATTTTATAATTTTTGTAAATGTTGTATCAATTTCTTTGAATCAATAATAATAAATAATAATAAGACAATGCTGAAGAAGAAGAAGAAGAAGAAGAAGAAGAAACACATTAATTTTAAAATGAGTAAATACACATTGAACGCTTTAATTAATTTTAAGGAAAGTCAACATCGAGTAAAATCCAAAACCCTTTCAGAAGCTGCCGATATGTTAAGCTCGGACTAGATTAATTGCCTCCAGTAGAGGCTTTTGTAGAATTTGCTAGAATAATGTGATGGGCAAACGATTGAGCTTTTATTATATTAACACCTAACTGTCTTCAGTAAAACACTTTCATTTTGAGTTTTTAGATTAGCAGGGTATAGCCGTTTTAATAAAACTGGTAAGGTTTTTAATGAAAACTAAGTAAATGATTGAGAAGATAAGATAAGTCCCCTAATGGCATTCCATTAAGTCCCGTTTCTATGCGAATTTTAATATCTTTTCTGGTCAAAATTGTTGTATAAGAATTATATTATATAATAAGTTTAAAGAATAAAATTGCTGTATTGATTTAAGGACCATATTATATGAGAGCCAAGTTAACCGGAAAGGTACACATGATCTAAGTGTCTTCTATTTATTATTGACCAGCTAAAGAAAGTAGAGGTAAGTACCTTTCTTAAGGCCTTCTAGGTGAAGATAAATCGATAAATTTGGTACATCTAGGGAAGTACCAAGGCAGAACAAGACGCCTGCTTTTCCATATCCTTCAAAGTTTGTATCCCAGAAAACCAGATACGAGTGATATCAGCTAACCGGTTTAGCTTGTCAATTGTTTATCTGCATGCTTAAACTAGCTCTAATTTTATGAATACAATTATGCCATATATAGTAAATGTATCCAAATAAAATTATTTTTAAGAGCTTTATTGTCTTCTTGTGTTTCTCCCAAGAACGTATAAAGCCACTATTATTAATTTAAAGGTAGATACTCAGATTAAAAACTAACAACAATTTTTTATCCATATATAACCCCCACCTATATTTTCTAGTCGGAACAACTCTCTCCTCCTTGGCATATTCCTGGCTACGTCACTATACTGAATAAGACACGATTTGTAGCAGTGAATATATGATTGGATCACCAATTATATATTGGATAATACATGTTCCTCAGCTTTGTAGTTATTTGTAAGTAATTCTTTTAACAGACCCAGTACATTCAATATGTTTTATACTTGTTAAAAAATAGTTCCCGGTGAAAGGTTGTTTAGCCAATGATGATGTTGATAAAAATATATTTCCATTTCTTAGGTCCAAAATCTTATAAAAAATATTTTGAACAGTCTAGTAGTTATAACGTTTTAAATTGCTCCTTGTTTAGCCGATACCCGGATGGTGAACTCATAAGGTTAAAGCTTAAAATTATTTCAATCTGTTTGTATTTTTTTATTAGAAGTCACATTAACTCGCTTCTAAGTAATGTAATAACATATTGCTATACGGGGGTACTCGGTTATGCGGAGAGAGATATAGATATCAACTTAAGAGTAATGTTTTTAATAGATTCGATACGATTCAATATTTTAATACTTTTTAAAAAATATTTCCATTTCTTCGCTTCAAAATCTTTAAACATTTTTTAAACAATTCTTTAGTTATGATTATAAGCTATAATTGTTTCTGATTTATCTGAGTACCCGTATGGTGAACTCGTAAGTTCAAATTTCAGCACTTTTCCAATCTGACTTGCACTTTTTATTAGAAGTCACATCAACTCGCTACTAAGTAATGTAATATTGTTAGGTTAAAATGTACTTAACTGTGTCATTTGTGCGAAGATAAATATATTCGCACATATATTCGTACATACGCTCTCACAACTTCATGTATTAGTTCAAGTTGAATTCGTGCTGCTGTTTGCGCAACAAAAAACAACAACAACAACATCAAAAAACAACAAATATTGACAACAAAAATCATGCATCCAGAAAAAAAATGCTGTTTTTGTTGTTGTGTGTCATAAATTCCTAGTTTATTTAATATTTAAATTTTTACATTATCTCTTGTAATACATATAAGAAATGAGAGAAGATGTACACACAAACCTATATACATAAAAACACATATACGCACAAACAAGTTGATAATATTCTCACGTATAGATGCACACTTTGCTCTGGCAATGTTGGTTGACCTTTTGTTTATGTCAACAATTTAATAAATTAAATTCATATGCACTGCGACAACAAGCGCACTCGCTTGTATATGAAAGAGTCGAGCACAAGGATTTCCTTCGCTTCTTCTTCTATCACAGTCTATCACTGCCTCAGTCTTTGCATCTGTCGCCGTCGCTGTCGCTGCGTATGTGTTTACTGCTCTTGTGATTTGTTAGTTAAGTAAATTAAATGAAATTAATGCAAATTTATAACTCGATGTCAACAATTTGCGTAGAACGCATATCGGATTGCTGCTCACTTATAGGCAAATGAAAAGATTGGAATGCTACGGAATTTATTGTCGTCTTGACTTTTCTACGCTAATTTAATTAGTTTGTTTATTAAAACTTTTTACTTTTTGTAAAAAAATAAAAATAAAAAAAGTAAAATGTGTATGCCCTCAATTATGGCATAAATTTCATTCCCTGATTGTGAGCAATAACTAAGTTGATTTGTTACAGAATAGGAGTGTATTACATGTGGAGGGTAGAACGATAGAGGCAGATGTCCTAATATGAATACTACGGAATGGCTTTTTTTATATTTATATATTTCCAATTGATACTTTAAACAAATTTAGGGAGAATTTTAAAAATCATTCAAAAAGAATTATATTTATTGAACTATTTTAATCTGATTACTTATAAAAAATATACATATCTAATCAGATGATGTTTTAATAAGACAATTTTTTGTTTTGTGTGGCAACTCTTTAAAAGCTGATCGTGTGCCCTATAGCATATTTTATATATACAAACATAACTGTTTCCATTCAAGAAATTTGTTTTTCAATTAATAAAAATTTTTGTTCAATTAAAAACAAGTATCTCATTGCAATTAATGTTTATTTGGGGGCATGTACCTTAAAAGTCATCACATTATCTCATTGTAATTAGTATTTATTTAAGCACATAAATAAAACAGTATATCAAAATGTAAATAAAACAATATTTTACGATTATTCAACGTATATAAGACCATTTAATACAATTTTTATTATTTTAATAAATCTGATTAAGATTATTTGCAATTTTAATTTAATGAACTACTTTTGAAATAATTTTAATACCTTCATTATTTTTTAAATTATATTTCCTCTAAAGAAAATACATAAAACGATACAACTTTTTCCTGCTTCCATTTTTTGCAAAATAGAAAATATTCCGCAAAAATAGAGAGAACACAGCAGTTGTTATTGATATTCTTATAAGATTTGTTGTTGTTGTTATTATGTATTTCCTAGATAAGAACTCAAGCTCATATCAGAGCAATTTAAGTTTTCCCCCAGGACAACTTTGGGTCAATATTATTAACCTTTATACAAGAAGTATTGTTCGGCATGATGTTGCCAACTCTACTGCTACTTTTGTGGTCGAACACCTGAGGAATTTTTATTATTTGTCAATTGGGATTATATTGTTGTTGTTTTTGTTTTCGTTGTTGTTGGGGTTACACACAAACTGATTTTTGTGGAACTTTTATTTGCGCTCAGAAATAAATAAGCCAACTAAGTCATTATTGAAATCTTTGTCGTTTAAAACTTTTGCACATTCCCTCGCAATAAAATGTAATGCGATTATCTACTTAAGATTTTTTTTCCGTTTTCCAACTGAAACGATTCGTTTGCGTAAAAAGGCATTGAACTTTATATATATGAAATATTAATTTGTTTTTATTTTTATTTTTTTTTTTTTAAATATAAAAAGAAATTTTGAAGTAAACTGAAAAATTTAAAATCTATTAAAGCAGAATTTGCAAAATATTTGTAATATTCTAACATTGAACAAAAGTAAGTACGAACTAAGACTGGTGTGGTTCTCAGTCTAAGCGTTTACCTTCAGTAAATGTAGATAGTTGAATGTAGTGGTCGTTCATCCTATCTGTGCTTGTGTATCGCCCAGAATTATAAAAGAATCGTTCTTTATAAGATCTTTGGTCCTTTATGAGTTGGTGACACCCATGAATTTGCACTGAGAGTTTTCGAGAGAAAAGTTCTTCGTAAAAAACTTACGACTAGACGACCGTATCCGAATGAACCACGAACTGAACAATCTTTATCATGATATTGATATGATTTAGTGAATTAACATCCAGGAGCTTTGATGGAACGAGAATGGATCTTGATGCTCTAATGAAAAAGTCATTTAAAATGGCAATTGGAGAATTAAGATGTAAAAGTAGAATCGTATTTCCGGTAGAATGATCAAGTTGAGAGACACTAATCGCACTGGAGAGGGATGCTCCGTCAGGTTGACACCTGGTAACGCGTTTTTATGCCCATTGAAGTAAATTTATTAGAATGTAGAGATACAATAACACTGCTAAATTATTTGCAGCAATGATATATTTCACTGAAAACTGTTCTAAAAATTCTATATTTGGTAAATCTATATTTGGTCAATATGCTATTAGACTAGGAGTACGCTTTTATTAATATAATAAATGATATTTAGATGCTTGTAAAAATGATTGATTGCATTGAAAAATTTTTTAAAAATTGTGTTTCGCGTGTTTTATAAGCGGAAATGGTATATTTTGTAAATAAACGATCAGGTTAGTAATGCCTTCTTATGAATTTTGTAGAAGATGTTTAGATGAAGAGAAAGTAAACACAGCGGAACATTTTTTCAACAGCTGCATTAACTCAAG